TACAAAATCTTTTAAACTGAAGTGATTCATTCTTCTGCTACTACTTATCTCTGGGAATGTTCAACCAAAACTTGGTCCTGATGTTAATCCAAGGTTTAACACTCCTGCTGATTTTAAATCTAGATCGGGTCTTGGTTATTCACCAGACATTATTGTTTTGTCTGAAACACAATAAAATCTTTATCTGGTGATAGTACTGGTATAATGGTTCCCCCACGAAATGACAAGGCTGACATTCTCAGTTGCTTTACTGAGCATTTTATAATGTCTGGTACACAAATTGAAAGTCTTTCTTATGAGCACTCCTGAGCTGCATTCTCTGATAATTTTATGGCTAGCCACTCCTTTAATTTTAACCCAAGCCCTAAAACATTTAGATACTAGAAAACCAACAGGCCCTGACAATTTGGAGATTTCCTTTCTAAAGCTAGCTGCAGATTTTATTGCCCACCAGTTACTTATCCTTTTAATCTTTCTTTGGATACAAATAAAATTCCAACCATATGGAAGTCTGCTTTTCTGTGAGGATCTGTAAGTTTTAAATAATTATTGGCCAGCTTCTACATTATCTGCTTTTGTTAAAGTTCTGGAAACTCTTTTTAGTGAACAGCTGAAAGATTTCCTGACTGTAAATAAGATTTTAAGTGACTTTCATCAGGCTTGAGGAAAAATTACAGTACAACTACAGCAGCCTTAAAAGTGATAAATCATCTAATCGATTCAGTTGATAACAAGAAACACTGTGTAGCCCTTTTTATTGATCTAGCCAAGGCATTTAAAGCAAACACTTGTCAGTTCAGGGTTGTCTGAAAAAACTGTTTCAAAGTTATTTATCAGGCAGGTCTCAGTGTGTACAGGTAGGAGTCACTTCTAGCTTGCTTAATGTAACCACAGGAGTGCCCCAGGGCTCTGTTCTTGGGCTGCTGTTCATTTTTATGCTGATGATATGGTGATGTACTCTTCTGCACACACTCCTAGCCAGGCTATCTGTCAGCTTTAATCAGCTTTCACAACAGTACAGCCTAACCTGTGGGATTTAAAACTTGTTTTGAATGCTGACAAAATTAAAACGATGATGTTCTAATAATAATAATAATAATAATAATAATAATAATAATAAT